GGCAGAGGCGGGAGGGGCAGCAGCAGTAGCAGCAGTAGCAGCAGCAGCAGGAAGCACTGGCACTCAGTTTCTATCTTAAAAGATGCAGCCAGCGAAAGTGCAGGGCGCTCATAAGTGTCGCCTCTCTCCATAGTCTGACAAAAGTGCAGATATATGTACATATGTACGTGTATATATGTATGTATATGCATTTAAAAGATATTTGTATGTACATGGGGAAAATGTAAATTTAGATAACACATACAAATGCAGCGGCAAAAAAGGCCGCATGCGATTTTGTATCTGCCAGATACAAGCAAAAGGCTCGGGCTATGGCTGATGATGCTGCTGCCCTCTGCTGCTGCTGCTGCAAGCATTTTCTTTTGAACTCGAAATGTAAAATGCTGCAATTAATCGTCAAGTCGTCTTCGTCTGCCTGAGTTGGCCTGGCCTGGGCCTGGGCCTCGGTCTTGGTCTGGGTCTGAGGATTGGCAGCGTCGTCAAGTGCTCCTTCAGCCGTGTGTGCCTGCTTTTTGGCAATCAACTCCACACAGTCAACCCACACAGCAGTGGCAGCAGCAGCAGCAACGGCAACAGCAGCAATCATATTGCAGCACGAGATTTCTTGTCTTGTCTTGCAATTGTTCTGCTTTTTGGCTTTTTGGGGCCTTCTCTTCGCAAAAACGAAACGAGTTTCGCACAGATACAGATGCCATCATCCATCGCAGACATGTGGAGCTTGAGATACATATACCTATGTGTACATATGTATATTATTTTCTCTCTCTCTCTCTCTATCTCTCTTACTGGCTGTCACTTAAGCGTTGTATACTTTTTGTTTCTTTTGGGCGTCTGTCGATGCTGCCCCATAGGTGGTGGGCAGCATTGGAGTAGTCTATCTATCTATCTGTATCTCTAAGCACTTGTCCTGTGTGGGCAGACAAGGTTGGGTCCCGTTCCGTTCCGTTCCACCACAGAGGCAGAGACATCGCGCGCCTTCTTCGCGTAGGTTTCAAAAAAGTAACAGAGAGGGCATAAAAAAAATCAGACCAACCATTGCTTGCCCCACCACCACCAATCCGTCAAGCGTCAGTCAATTGCAATTGCATTCCCATAGTCATGGAGTGGCGCCTCAGCAAAAGCCACAATGCACGAGTGTGTGTGTGTGTGTGTGTGTGAACTAAATTACTGAAAAAAACCATAGACAGAAAGAGAGTGTAGAAAGAAGCGAGAGAGCTGCAATTTTAATTGAGTTAATAATCTTAATGGATTTTTCAATTTAATTATAGCCCAAGCTGGCTGACTCTGGGCTGTTATGCCTGCCGGCCGATAAGCGTTTTGTAAGCCTGGGCCATAAATTGCAGCTAGTCCTCTCATCAAAAAGCAGATTTCCCCCTTAACCAGCCACGTGCTGCTGGGGTCAGGCCTTGAACGGCACGAATAAAAAAATTGCAGGCAACTCAAATGTTAATGGTATTCCAGCAAATGCATGCGATTTGATATATAATCTAATTTTGGGAAATTTTGTGGAAAATGGCAAATCAAAATCCAACCAAAAGCCGCTCGAGGAGTACCACTATTAGAAGCAATCCCCCCCTTGCTCAATTTTTGGAATTTTTTTATATAAATATACTTTTGGAGGGTCACCCCACACACAAGCCCACAAACACATATTGTACATATACATATAGTATATATATTTTTTGCTCTGTTTTAAATTACGAGTGCGCTCAATTACAGTCAGAAATAATAATAATAATAAAACAGTGTGGTGGTGGCCTGCACCAGTTGTCTGTCATTCAACGATTCAGTCTAACACACAATCATAATGCAAATGCAAATATATGTAAATTGTATAAATTTTAATTGAACCGAAAACACAAAACCGAAAAAAATGGTTTCAGTTCCAGAGCAAATGTCATGCGAATTGTGTGAACTGCAGCCAAAGGCAAAGGCAAAAAGCTCTGGGGAAAGTTTCTCCTCAAACAATACAAATTGTATTTTGTAATTTGTAATTGTAATTCTATTCGTCTGTAATTGTTTTTTCTTCTCTCCCATTGTGGGAATCGTAGACACAGACGACGGGGTAGACCGGGTGGGTAGACCTTTTTTCCAGCTGAGTCATAAGCCAGACGCGTGAACAATTTTTGCGCATTTATCAGTTTGTTTGCTTGTCTAATTTTAAGTGCATCCTCTCTCTCTCGCTCTCTATAGGAGGTGCTCTTACCGTATACAGCGTATGTGTATGTATGAATGTGTTTTGTCATCTGATTATGGACTGGCGCCTTTCTTAAGCTTTGATTTTATAAATAGATTTGCGTGATTGGAGCAGCAGATGAACAAAGTGCAATGAATGTTGTTTTATACTATGCGCTTCAGATGTGTGTAGGCTTGTGTTTCAGAAATACCTAACAGCAGCCCGAAAGCAGTTTTTATGTGTTCCTGCATTCTTTTTTATACTCTCATCCCACCGATTATTCTTACATAATGAACAAAACCTACCAGAAAATATTTAAATATATTCTTCATAGATTTCCCATCGTTTAACTGTATACCAAGAGCAGCCCACCAATTTAATGTTAGATTAACACGATTGCCCCTTGGCTGTTGACAACAGAGAGCACGAGCACCTCCTGCTGCTAATTAACAGACAATCATCATCTTATCTGGCAATAAATCAATCAACGGAACCCATTCACCAAACAACTTAATGACCAATGGGCCACACACACAAAAAGCCACTTGAAAATTTGTTAGGGTCTCTTTTTCCGTTGATAAAAATGTCCGGCGGCTAAATGGCTGCTGGTTTTGTGTTTTGTTTACAAGATTTGCTGACAAACTGTCTGTTACGCTAATTTTGTTGTTATATGTGATTGTCGATAAATAAACAGTAATAATTGGCATGCGACACGAAACGGAATCATATCAAAGCAATGAAGGAAGGAAGGAGAAAGAAGAGACGTGGCGTGCGCCAAAGTTGAGTTAATAATAAACAAAATGGGAAGACGGCTGACAAAGGGTGCGAAGTTGTAGATACCCTTGCAGAAATACCCTATATGCAAGGGTAAAAAAAAGAAAGACAGGGACAGGACAGAGACAGGGAAATGAGAAGAGTTGGCGTGCTGCAAGAGCAGAATGATAATAAATAACAAAAGAGACAAACGACGCAAATCATTTTGATAAATATACATAGTAATATGCAAACAATGAAAAGCATGCAGAAGGAACTTAAGAAGAAGGAAGATGGGTAGGGGTGTGGGGGGAAACAACAAGCAAAGGGAAGCCGCTTTCTTCAATCGTTTTGTTTGCAGGCGGGCGTAAGCGTAAGCTACACCCAAAGCAAAACTCCCACAGGAAGTGGCCGATAGCAGCAACAGCAACAACAACAACAATGCCCAAAGCAAGACAAAGCAAGAAACACACACATAAAACAAAAAAGAGAATCATAAAAATTGTATACACATGCAAGCGAAAACCGTATATGACCCAATTAAGTGAACCCAAAGCTCGTCTTCTCTCTCTCACTCCAGTTCTCTCTCACTCCCTCTCGCTGTCTAGCTCTATCTCTGTCCGATTGTCTGTGTGCAGCTGTTTTTAGTGTTGTTGTAATTATGAAAGCGTGCATGTGTCTGTGTGTGTGCATTGGAGCTGGAATTTGCAACGAAGCGAAAAGGTTGCCAGCTCTTGCCAGCAGGCTGTTGGCAACGCCATTTACTGTTACGGTTTTTGTTGTTTGCTGCTGCTGGCCATGCAGATTTCAGCCAGCTGAGAGCAGAGAGAACAAGCAGAGCAACGAGAGAGAGAGCCACAGTGGAGTACATACAAGCATGCATTGACCAAAATATTCCAATTGGAACGGAAATCCAATCGGAGACAACAAACAACAACAAGAACAAATAAAGAGACGAAAAAAAGGTAGCAGCCCCAAAAAACAAATGGTGACAACAATATTTAAGTGCTTATTCGAGGCGGGTCAACAGCTTTAAGTGCTAAAAACACACACACACACACACAGCCACACAATGCACACAACAAAGGCAGGCAATAAAGAGAGGATGATGCCAAAAGGCAAATGGCCAACAACCCCCTTGGGGCCACCCTTTAATTATTTCAAATCGGAATTTAAAGTATTAAAACACACACATGCACACAGCACACAGCACAGCAACAAAGGGAAAAACCCCACCCAAGAGCATGGCTCTAACCTTAACACCACCAAGTATGTATGTACTCAGCTTATGCCAGGCAGGGAGAGGGGCAAAAAAACACTTGCGTGTCCTGTTGAGTGTAAAAATTGAGTGGCAGTCACGACTGCAACCACTACAACTGAGAGAGAACAGGGCAGGAGAGCGCGCGTTAAGGAGAATGAGAACCAGAACGAGGGCGAGGACATGACCGAGGCACAGGAAGCAGCGGAAATATTGCAAGTGAGAGAGATAGAAAGAGAGAGAAGAAGACGGAGACGTTGCTCGACGCGTGAGCGAGTTAACGGAACACACCCCAGGCCCTGCCCAGGCACAGGCATAGGTTCATAGAAGTGCAGCAATAGCACAGTAAACGCTCAATAAATGGAAAATTTGCCTATATTTATGGGGTGTTTTAGCCCAAAATAAATTTAGTTTTAAACAAACATTTGACGGAATTCATTTCCAATTTTCAGCTTTCCCTCGCAAGCGACTGTTTCACTGTACAACCACACAAAGGACATACAGAGGGAGTGAGAGTGCAAAAGGAGAGCAAGGAGGGGTCACGGCACATGCACTGCCAGGAGCTGGATAGAGAGACAAAGGAGTATACCAACAAATTTAATGATTTCTCTTTTAGGCAGGCGGCCAGGTGAGGGCGCAAGGACAAGAGAAACGGAACGGAAGCAAGACAGAAAAAATTAACACACATATACTGGTACAGACACAGGCACACACAGGGTTGAGAAAACAAATGACGAACGACGAAGTGCATAATGATGACTTTTGGTACTTTTAATGAGTCATCTTTTTTGACCAGGTGCGGCGGTCGCTTACCTGTGGGGGAGCTCCGGCGTCGACAACGGGCTCAAACAATGGAGTCTCCTGCTCGAATGCCTCCTTGGTGTCCTCGACGAGATGCTTCTCCTCGGTGGAGGAGAGCGGCGACGGTGTAATGTCCACAATATCGGCTTGCTGCTGCTCCGGCTCCAGCTCCAGCTGCAGCTTGGATACGGGCGCAATTTCCTCGGGGCTGAATATCGGTGCACTGGCGTCCAGATGGGACACTGGCGCAATTTCCTCGGGGCTGAAAATCGGTGCAGCGGCGTCCAGATTGGACACGGGCGCAATTTCCTCGGGGCTGAATATCGGTGCACCGGCGTCCAGATTGGACACGGGCGCAATTTCCTCGGGGCTGAACAATGGGGCACTGGTGTCCAGCAAAAAGCTCTGGTTGTTCACGTTCCCGGCAAAGGGATCGGAAGAGTCGCGGGGCAGCTGCTCAACATTCTCCTCTTGGTGCAGCTGCTGCTGAAGGGCCTCGCTGGAAGTGTGCTCCAGATAGAATGAGGCCTGCATTGGGTCCTCGGGAGCAGAGCCAAACAACTGCTGCTGATGTTGGACCTGTATCTGGTCCTGGTCGTCGTTGGCCTGGTACTGCAGCTCTTCCGTGGAGGGTGACTGCGAGACATGTTCCTTCTCCTCAACATTGAGCAGCTCCTTCTCGGCGAAATCAGACTGGGTGGGCAGCGGCTGCACCGAGTTGAGTATGTCCTCTATGGAGGCATTGTGCTCGCCATAGACCGACTGCTTCATGATGTCGTCATTGCTGGCGGTGATGTGGTCCACGGGCAGGTCCAAGTCGACGCTGGTCTCTGGGCCGTGATCCAGGACATCCTCGAGAACCGGGGCAGCGCCCAGGATACTGCCAGAGCCGGCGCCATTCAAGAGCTGCAGCTCCAGGTTGCCATCAGCAAAGACATCGTTGTCCTGCTCCAGCTCATGTGGACGCTTGTCCGCCTCAATGTCAAACTCCCGCTCGTCGGGCACGGCAATGGCGTCCATGTTGTCCCTGGCGGAGCCCTTGCGTGGGCTCTCCGCCACCATGTCATCGAGGCCACCACCGATTAGCTGGCGTGGATTCAGGCCCAGCATAGGATCGGCCTCCATGGGCAATGGTGATGATGGCTGGGAGCCAAAGCTGGGCACAAATGCAACGGCATTGGGATTGAGTTGCGAGTGAGATTCTTCGGCGTCGACATCGGGATCGTTGTTCTCCTTGTTGTCAAAGGCATCGAGCAGGTCGTGTCTCTGCTCCTCCTGCTGGCCACCCACCACCTCCTGATCCAGCGGCGTGGGATTGTTCTCGCTCAGGCTGCTGGTGCCATATGTGGTGGCCACTGAGCTGGCCTCATCCTCGTCCTCCTGCTGATGGAGCAGCTCCTGCTGCTGCTGCTGCTGCAGCAGATCTTGTTGTGGCTCCAGCAGCAGCTGCTGCTGATCCGGACGCTCCAGGCCAGCCACCTCACCGGTCGACGTTGTGGTATTGGAGTTTGTCGAGAAGTCACCATCGTTCTTGATCACTTCCACGTCCTCGTCCTCATAGACCAGGCTAAAGCCAGCGGCAGCTCCACCGCCATTGCCCAGCCCGTTGCCGATCAGCAGCTCTGCCTCGTGGTGGCCAAAGCCATTGCCGTTGCCATTTCCTGCCACGTTAGCGCCGAAATCCTCCTCGCCGAAGCCGCCAAGATGCTGCTGCTGTTGCTTTTCGCTCTGCTGCACTTCACGTCTGTACTTCCACTCCTCGTCGTCTTCGTGCTCGCCCGACTTAACGGAGGCGGTGGCGATGTTGGGCACCAGCTCGCCGGCAACATCGGCAGCATTGCCGGCACCGCCAGCGATTTGCTGCATATTCTCCGCAAAGCGGTTCAAGTAATTATCGAACTGAGCGTTGTCCTCGTGCTCCATTTCGCTGTATAGTATCTCTCTGTTTGTCTCTCTGGGGGATATCTGTGCTCTTTCAGCAATAAACAATTTCTTTTGGCTCTGGGGCTTGCCAAAAAAAATTATAATAATGATTCAGCTTGCTCGTGATTCACACGCCACTGCGTTTTATTTCTCTTCTCGCTTCTTTTTCTGGCGTTTCTTTCTTGCTTTTGCCTTCTTGCAAATTCTCCTTTTGCCCTCTCACATACACGCCGCACCACACAAACACACACAGAGAGAGAGCGGCGAACGGGAGGGAGAAGTGAACAGCGAACAGAACAGCCGCCGAGTCACGAACAAATTTTTCGCTTCTGTCGTTTTCGCTGCTTCTTCACTCGGTCCTTCTTCTCTGCCCTTCTTCCTTACGCACTTTTGAGAAAATGTCAAAACGGATTAATAACGCACACGCTTGCACATTCAACTTTTAACAAACACCTCTGCGCCTCTATCCACTATACAATTCGCAAATCAGATTTTCTTGGCCCTTTCAGTTACTTTTGAATTGTTCGACCCGACGCGCGCAGCAACCGCTCAGTTGAAAAATTTGGAAAGTTATGTTAGAGGTGTCAAACCGTCGAGGGCACTATCGATAGTATCGATATTTTACTGCTAGCTTCTACTATCGACGGTTTTGCAAGTATCATGATAGTATCGAGCTACAGTCGTTGCGCTTTTGATATGTTTGCATTGGCTGCTATAAAATACGAAGACAAATTTGTAAACAAATCGACAAGTTTCATCTAACTTTTACAATGGACAAGTTCCTAAGAGGTTTCAATGGTTTTTTAATAATTATTTTAGCCCGATACTATCAAGATAGTATCGATTGTTTTTTTCAAAACATTCAACCTTGATATTCCTCGAATTTGATATTCCGTTTAATATTACTAGCTAGTTAGGACTTTAACAACTAAAAATGTAAATTTATCAGATAGATGAATCAATTTTCTACAATCTGGCTTATCGTAAAGACTCCCATTAATTGGATTACTTATAAAATAAGGTTTGAACAAAGGTCAGCAAAAATTTTGATTTTTGTGCACGGTAACTACACATTTGCTACATATGGCACTTTGTATACCCAATTGGGAAATTTTTTTTCAATATTTTGAAGCTTCTGTACTCCAATTGGAGTACAGCAGCTTAAGCTGCTTTGAAACCTAAGTAACAATGAACTTACTCGTATTCGCTTTCGGGGCCCCCCCCCCCCCCCCCCCCCCCCCCCCCCCGGCCCCCCGTTTTTACATATATTAGATTCTATATATGTAACCCTTTGGTAACTGCAAGAATACCATACTCTGCAATATAAATTAAGATTGATTATAAATTTAGTGACAATTGCATATCCATTCTCATAATATAAAGTTTATAAAGTCGATTATTGCATGGATGACAAATATTTCATCATATCCCCGTATAATTTCTTCCTCTTAAGGATGAAAGCTTCAAGGGAACTTTTAAAAACGCGTCACAACCATGGTATATTTAATCCTTCACGCCAGGGTGAGCAGTGTACGAGGCCCTTAAAAAAAGCTTGGCCGTTTTAATACTGGGGCCATACCTTGCCATGACCCAGTCGAAAGTGAGCAATGCACGCTCTCCCGACTCATTTTTGCGATTAAATTGTGAGCCCAAAAATAACCCAGAAATATACCTTGTCAGTTTTTAAATATACCGAAGAAAATTGGCCATCCATTTCTTCGATTTTCATATTCGGATTAGGAAATACTAATTACTGGAGCCCTCAGAACTGATCATATAATTTTCTACTATAAATTGGTTAATTTCCTAAAAGATTTACTTCTTTTAGGTACTCATTTCTATTAGATTATTGATAAAATAGGGTTTAATTATAGGTCTTTTGATAATAAAGTTGGTGTCTTACATGGTAACTACACGCTAACTATATACAAGCTAGCTAGATCCCTCAGCACCACACACAAAATTTTATCCGATTAATGAATAAATTTCCCACTGTATTAGTTAGTTTGAAGGACTCATTTCTATTGAGTTCTCTACCAAATAGGATTCAAGCAAAACAAGTAAAAACATAAAACCGTCAGTGTGTACGGATTATGATTTCCAGTCTCTGCAATAATAAATTTATTATTATTTATTATTATTATTTATTATTTATTGGAATCGATGGAATGAAGCAACAGGGTTTAAATACCCTTGGGGAAAAGGATATTATAGAACTTTTGAAATCTATGTCATTTAAGGCTCCAATTAAGCTGGAAACAACTCAGTCTCTGCTTTAAAGATATTAACGAAATTTTGCAGCTCACAGGTACCAATAACACGTATCAGAACCGGGATAAATGTATTTATAAAACACAAAATATATGCATTAATGGGTAAAAAACATATCAAATACGGTATACAAAAGTACATACGCATAGAAGAAACTTGGTCGACCAGCAACAATGACGTCACATTTAGTCAACATTTACGTTGTATGCTTTGGCTATTTTTGTTTGAACCTTAATATGTAAATAATCCAATAAAAAGGACTTCTGAAAACTTGCCAATCTTGTAGAAAATTTATGTATCTATCGGATACAGTTTTTTGTTTAGGGCTGAGAGTACCAGCTAGCTAGTAATATTAAACCGAATATCAAAGTCGAGGAATATCAACGTTGAATGTTTTCTAAAAAACAATCGATACTATCGTGATAGTATCGGGCTCAAATAATTATTAAAAAACCATTGAACTCTTATGAACTTGTCCATTGTAAAGGTTAGATGCCACTTGTCGATTTGTTTACAAATTTGTCTTCGTATTTTATAGCAGCCAATGCAAACATATCAAAAGCGCAACGACTGTAGCTCGATACTATCATGATAGTTGCAAAACCGTCGATAGTAGAGGCTAACAGATATCGATAATATCGATAGTGCCCTCGACGGTTTGACACCTCTAAACCCTACGCTAAACTTTAAAATCCGTAAAATTAATGAAATAGTCGAAACCATCAACGTACGTACCATCTAATTAGATCATTTGTATTTGGATATTGATAAACCCATTGCCAACTTTCACTAACATGGCCTACTTAACTGTATTTTCCACCAAATATGACGCATCTGCGGCTCCACCTTTCATTTGTGCCGGACACATACACAACCCAACCTCAACATGCCGCACCACACGCAGCGCAGCGCAGAGCAGAGACGAGACCGAGCCCAAGCAAAATCAGTGAAAAATCAACATCTCAGATTTGTTAGCCTACACCAGCCATGGCACACCTATTGGAAAATCAATTGTTCAATGCGGCGAAGACGATCGAGCAGCAGCTGGACCAGCAGCTCGACCGCTTGGATAACCTGGACTCTGACGATTTGAAGGTGTTGCGCGAACAACGCCTACGCGAATTGAAAGAGCTGAACAACAAGAAGCAAGAGTGGCTCAGAAATGTGAGTAATGCCACGCCGCTGGCGACCCTGCTTCCGCATATATTCTAGAATCTAACCGATTGATTGCCTCGCCTCTTTTTACAGGGCCATGGCACCTACACGGAGCTGGCTGACGAGAAAGAGTTCTTCGAGGTGTCGAAAAAGTCACCCAATATCGTCTGCCACTTCTACAGAGACAGCACCGAGCGTTGCCGCATCGTGGACATGCACCTGAAGACCCTGGCCGCTAAGCATGTGGAGGCCAAGTTCTGCAAGGTGAACGCCGAGAAGAGCCCATTCCTGACGCAGCGCCTGCGCATCAAGGTGATACCCACAATCGCCCTGGTGAAGGACAGCAAGACGAAGGACTTCATTGTGGGCTTTACCGACCTGGGCAACTGCGATGATTTCTCCACGGAGTTACTGGAGTGGCGCATCGCCCACTCGGGCGTGATCGACTACAAGGGCGATCTGATGCAGCCGCCAGATGTGAAACGCAAGCCGTACATGAGCCGGCCACAAAAGACAATACGTGGCGGCTACGATTCAGATGACTCTGACATCGAACTGGATGACTAACTGCAGCCACCCATTCCGTAACCTTAAGCCCAAAAGTCCCAGTCCCAGCCCCCCATACACAAAACCCACAACACTCACAGTAACCTAGCAGCTGCTTGGCGCCTGAAACAAATCGGAAAAAAAACAAACAAACAAACGAAACACACAAATCAAAACCTAGCACATGGATCTAAACCAATTAGGCATATTTTTTAGAGTTATTTATTTAATATTACGTTTTCGAACAGTCTGCTGGCCCTGCTCCTACCCACTCTGCACATTCAATGCGTATAGCATAAGTATTCGGTTGCCTTTTACCACCACCACCACCCCCGTTAAACCACTCTAGCGAGCTTAAAAGTACCCTATCTTACCCCTAATCTTAATTATATACCCTATGAAATGATGTTTATAAAGCCTAAACAATAATGCACGAATTACGCACGATTATGTAAAGCCTTTAATATTTGATATATTTTTTTCTAAATATTTTTACACATGTGTTATGTGGAAGAATCATTGATCCCACTTACGAGTAGTTTGCACCCATCCCAGAGTGGAGAATCTATCTACACGTACTCAAGCTCGCTCTACAATGGTGAAAGGAAAACACAAACAAACAAACAAAAAACACAACAAAAAAAGACAAACAAAATCATCTGGCATATATATATTTATAACAATTTGACAGAGATGTAATGCATTTCCTAATGTAGTGGTAACTAACACATATGTACAAGTTTTTTATATTTATTTTTGTAATTCTATAAAGCATCAGAAAGAAAAACTATTAAATTACATATTCTCAAAGAAAAACGAAAACAGTGATTCGCTTATTTGAAATTGGCGCGCTCGGCAGGGCTGCATGCGATAAAGTTGACGAATAACGGAAGCAGCTGTCAAAAACGAAAAAGGGACGCCTGTCCGCAATTGACGACAATTTTACCGCATAGCGAATAAAACCCCGCAGTCTGCCTGGGATATAAATCTATGGTGTAAATCCTATCCAAAGACGGACAACAAACGCTTTAAGAATGGTTCTCGTACCTGCGGCGCGCGGAATAGTGCAGGCTCTGATGCGCTCAAACACCTTCGAGGAAATTGCCCAGATTATGGAGTGCGATGTGGAAAGTGTGGTCAGCTGCATCAAGGAGTGCCAACTGGTCGAGGGCAACACGGCCGCATTTAAGCTACCGACAAAGCCTGCGGCAGTGCGGCGTCCGCACAAAATGGGTGCTAATGTGGTGGAGCAGATTCTGAGAGATCATCCGTCATACACTTCGCTGGATGTGCAGAGGGAGCTGGTGTCCCAGCACGGCATCGAGATGAATCGTCGCACCCTGCAGCGTCGCGTCAGTGATATCAAGTCAAAACATGTCCCGGCGAAGAACGTCGGGACTGAGTGTGGACGCCAAAAAAACGGCGCGTGGCCTGGGCCAGCGCACACCAGGACTGGACAGTGCGCGACTGGCGCAATATCTTCAACATGGACGAGCTTAAGTTTGTAGATGGCACGCCGCCAAAGCAGATTTTCGAGGATACCCTGGTGGGTCCACAGGGGACCAATTGCAGTGACCTGAGCCTCCTCGAACAGCTCATGGCCATTATACAGCCGAAGATCCAGGCGCTGGCTCCGAAAAATGTCCACGAATTCCGCGCCGTACTCTACGACGCATGGCACAGCGACCAGGAGATGGTGGAAAAGATCGAGAAACTGTACGAGTCGATGCCGGGGCGTGTGAAGGCGGTTCTACTCAGCGGCGGCGACGACTTAACCAAGTTCTGACCTCCACACTATTGTATATATGTATCTTAATTCTGTTCTAAAGAGTGATGTAATAATAATAAAAAAATCTGTTAAAATTCAATTCGAAATGCAGCCCTGTCTGAGCTGTGTTGCGACCCTGTCCAAGCAGGGCTGCCGACAACGAGTGTGCATCAGCTGCTTGTAAGTCGTCCCGAACAACAGTAAAAAAGCTTTGTTTAACTTTTACAACTTCCAGCGTCTTTGCCGCGTCATAAAATAATCCCCAGCCGCATGTACAACGATGGGAGGGGGTGGGGGGCTTTGGGGGAAGGTCTGCGTGGTGCGGCGTGGAATGGAATGGCGGTGGTGGATGAGCTCATATATACTCGTACGAAAACGAAAAGAAACAAGTTTAGCTTTTTGGAACGAAATGATGATGGCTGGACGGTGGGGCAGCTTCATTCGAACGTGAATCGCGAACGACGCCGGATGAACGACAGCGGACGCCCACGACGGCCCCAACCAACGATACAGATACGAAAAGCGTGTGACAAAGCCCGCATAAGTGTGTCCATTTCTCTCTGTGTGTCTGTGTGCGTGTGTGTGTGTGCGTAAAATTTTACTAGCAGCAGCAGCAGCAGCGTTTTTCTTTGCCATTGCTACTAATTGGTGGGTTTTAATGTTACGTGGCCATAACGCGGCATTAATCTGGATTAATTAACAATCGGCTGAGGAACACTGACAACAGCTGAGCTGGAGAAAACGACGTAGCATCTCTGTCGCTCGCTCTCCCCCTCGCACACACTTTTAGTTTTCCGTTTTTTTTTTTTGGCAATACTTTGCTTGTAAGCAAATCGATAGAAGAATCTAAAATCCAAAACAAAAACAGAACAAATTCAAAGTGCAGAAAAAAACGAAGGTAAACTCTCTCGCGGCAACAACAAAATCAATAATTGGCCCCGTGCCCGTGTGTTTGTGTGTGTGTCAGTGTGTCCCTCGCTCTGTAAGTGTGTATGGGTGAGAGATTGTGCCTTTTGCTGGACAACTGGAGCAATGCCCTGCTGATTGATCAGCCCTGAACAGAAGAACGTTAAAATTGCAACCGAAACAGTGTATCCAAATCGAGAGTAACCATGCAGTCAGCGCCCGCAACACAGCCTGGTGGCAGCGGCACCCATACGCCCGTCAATCCCACGTCCAGCTCCTCCTCCGTCACAGGCACAGCAGCTGCCAGCACCAGCACCAGTACACCCATTAGGATCAACAGCGCCAAGCACTCTGGCGGCGGCGATTCCTTGCTGCCGTCGCTGGGCCTTGGCGGCGGCAGCAGTGGAACGGGTGCGTCCACCTCCCACTCGATGCCCGGCACACCGCAGCAGTCCAGTAGCGTTCCAACGGGCAGCCATCTGCAGCTGCAGACTCCGAGCGCCACCGGGGGCGCCGTGACGCCATCGGGCCTCTCGATGGGCGCCTCGAATCAATCGCTGGGCGTGAGCGTTGGTGCTGCCAGCAGTGTCGGCGGCATCAGCATTACGCCACCAAACAGTGCTGGCCTCCGTCAGTCGACAGGTGAGTACAAATGCTCCGCACACCCTGTCCCGTCCCCTGCTATATGGCCTGGCTTGGCCCCAATTGCTTTTTGATGTCGTTTTGCGTTTGCCTTTCATTTCGTATTCTGTATCTGCTCCTCCTCTTACGTTTTCCTTTTCAATTAAATTCAATGTCAGCAGACCGACCACATAAATATGTACTCCACACCAGAACACTCTCTCTCTCTCCTCTCTCTCTCTCTGTTGCTCTGTTCTATTTCTCGTTCCGTTATGTTCACTCAATGTGTTTGTTGTTGCTTTTGATTCAGTTCAATTCGATCATTCACAATCGAAACTACTAAAAACGATTTACATTGTAGGGGTGACACACACACAATCAGAGATTGCTTCACACACACACACTTACACGCAGTTTTTGATATCAGTTTCAGTTTCAGTTTTGATTTGCTGTGGCTTCTCGCATTTCAAAAATTCATCTAAAGCCCATCCATTCATCCGCTGAATGCCGGGCTCTACGTACATACATATCACCCGCTCCCCACACACACACACACCCCCCTCTCTCCCTGTGGCCCCACGTTATCGCTTAACACTTTGCTTTGTTCGGCATTTAGCACACTTCCGCTTTGTCGGATCCATTCATCCATGTCATCCACGTCTCTTGTGTTGTTCTTTCTTTTGATTGTTGTAGTTGTCGCTTAGTTTAAGTCTGTCGCTGGTGTTAATTGATTTACATATTAAGTGGTAGGCGCTGACAGTCCAACTAGTTGCTATGCTCTCTCGGCAGTCTACAAAAATCGAAGGGTTTGAGTGAGCGGGAAGCAGAGTCTGCCCCAAAAGTGTGGATGCTACTTAGTGCTACTGGAATACAATGATTCAGATTCGTTATGTAGATTTGCTCAGTGTTTAATTGAGGATTTTACACTTTTGCCTGGACGAGATCTACTGGCATTACAGCTTATGGCAAACCTTATTGAAAAATACCATATTTAGTGGGGAGATGAAACTACAGTTCGTAGTTAATTGCACATAAGATTATTCACCACTTTTCGTGTATTAAATTTCTGAAAATAACAAAAAATTGTTAGCATACAAAAGGACAAGATTTCCCCAGAGATTTCCGCAATTTCATAGTTGCTATTTTTGTTTAGCATTTATCTGTTTGTTAGAAAGATTTACCAAGTTATTTCTCAAGCCAATTTGTATAGAATGGTATTCATTATCTAATATGTATGAGGAATTATTTTCCTTCGCATTTCTCACACTTGCTAAGTACCTACTTTTGATTTGCAAATACGTTAGAGAGGCAGCTAAAGCTATCTATCACCTGATAACGTATCTCGTTTCCAGCTGCACTCCAGCTTAACTGTTAAGGTACTATGAATATGTCAGACCCCAGCGACACACATGTCCTTTTCCCCTTTTCTACAGCTAACATTCCATAATCGACTTTTGTTTCTGTGCGTTCTTGATTGTTTTGTCATTTCATTTTGCTCCTTTTGTGCTGTTTATCGATTTGCATATATGACTTTTGCTTTCTGCTGTCTGCCCACCCAAAAGAGGGTGCGGGGACAGGTGGGTAACCAGGACAACCCCAATCAATGCCGTGGTGGGGCGTTGGAACGAAAAGGGATTTTGCACGCGCACCATTTTGACCCCACAAAAAGTCCACCAAAATGTTGCTATATATTTTGCTGTTGTTTTTGTTGTTGCGTTGTTGTTGTTGTTGATTATTGTTTGCTTTATTGTGTGCTATTGTCGTTAAATTTTTTATTTCGCATGTTGTATTCTTTTATTGTTCAGATAGACATTCCATGGTACATATGTATATAGTATATATGTATACGTAATTAGCTGACACAAGCAGTCATACTCCAGGGCAAATGCGACTTTATAATTGGCATTGTAGTTGCCTTCGCCTCCACCTCCGCCTCGCCTCGTCTTTGCTGTAGTTTGCTTCTTTTTTTTTATTTTTTGCTCCGTGCCCCGTTGGGCACAGTGGGCGTGAATAGACACCGCCCCACTCCTGCATGAATGTTGTGTGGAAACTGCAAGTCAGAAACGGTTGGAAAATTGTACACCTGTCAGAGAGGTACCACCCCCCTCCACTATCCCGCCCTTTTCGGACATACATAAATGTGCAAAAAGGGAAAATGCGTAAAAAATAAATACGAAAAAAATCGATGTATTGCGGCAGTGCCGCGTGAGGTCTTCCTTCCAATTGGGGGGTTGTTGAAAAGCTCAAATAAACAAAAATATTTGCATGCAGAATCGAAGTTGATTGAAAGCTCTGGCAAAATGATATATGTACATTTGGGGTGTTTTTGAGTATTCTAAGGATTCATAATCACTTGATACAAAATCCATTATTAAACCCTGCTCTTGCTCCCAAATGCTCGACACGCACAAGCGAATGCTGCAAAAGAGAACGGCCGTGAATTGCAATAAGCAACATACATGTCGTGTGCATGATGCGGCACATCGAAAAAAGTTTCTATGAACTTTAACAGTATATTTATTCTAAAAAGCAGAGCACAAAAATGTCGGATGGGCATGCACGCTTTTTTTCCGCACTCTTTTCAGCGAACGCGAACATTTTAAGTGGAGCTTGTCGCGAAAAGTGGCTGACAGCAGGTGGGGTGGGATAGGGTAGAGGAGAGTGGGTCAACTGGTCACAGAATGTACACGATAGACTATGGACTATGGACCACCCTCTGTGGTACGCCCCTCCTCTCATGCTGATGAGCTCTATTTTTGTTTTTCGTTTTCTTTTTTTTTGGCTAAAAGATGTCTCTCGCTCCCAAAAAGGTCAACAGTGAAAGGGGGGACTGTGGCAGTGTGGGCCTGGGGTTGCTTTTGTTCCAGTCTATAGGCTAATACCGATTTACATCTGCATTTGCATACTGAACGAGTTTCATCCTTTCCTGTCCTCTGTGTGTGTGTGCAGGTCTCTCTCTCTCTCTGTGTTTGTGTTTCGATGAATATTTTATAGCATGCTTTTGGGCAAATTACCGTAAAATATATAAAACATGGACTGAATGGAATGGGGAATTGCAGTTATGCTTACATATATATATTGATGGAAACACCACCTGGCGTTCACGTGTCACTCTTGATTGATCCCCCAAACTAAAATTGTAATTGGATTACATAAAAAAAAAAATGAAGCAGCAAAAAGCAGCACCCAGTGGGCGTGGGGGTGACGGTCATTTGGAGTGGCGCCATGTGACGTCACTGGGGTGGCGTAAGGGTGGAAGGGCAAAGTGCACTTTCGAGTCTCTTGCATCATTTGCCATCCCTTTGAGGGTCTGGTCTGGGGTCTTTTGCCAAAGGGGAGAGAGTGTGTGTGCTGTGGTGTGGCCATAATTCTCGCTGCATGACCGCATGCCAAGTGAGAATTTAGTCTGAACTTTGAACTTCTGCTATGCCAGTGGAATCTTTGGGGCGTGCTCTAATTGCGTAAATTGATTGCCTGCCAGGCGCTGGGGCTCTTTATTTAAAATCAATCAGGCCAGTCCATTGTATTCTGGCACTCGCGTATATCCCATCCATCCTATCGCATATCTTAATTACCGCCAGCCGGGAAGGCAGGCGTCTCCTTGGCGCCCAACGAGAACATCTTAAACGGGTGCCATGGCGGGTGCGGTGCGGTGTGGTGCGGTCACTGGAGGACTGCGTGCTGAGCTGCCATGTCTGATGATACGGAGACAATTGATGAGCTCACATAATTAAGCCCGTAATGGTAATGGATGGTTTAGGATGGTGTTCCTTATGGCCTGATTGGATCAGGCTTTTCATCCTCCTGCCACTCTAAACTGTATATAACTGTATGTACTGTGTGTGTTTTGTTTATAGATCGATGTGTGTGTATATCCTTTTGTTCTGTGTATGTATGTGTGTGTGTGTCTTTAGTCTTAGTATGAACTTTATTTTGTACTTAAAATGTGTCGATGTCTTTGTGTTGTAAAACTGTCTGTACCAGTGAACATTTTTTATCTATATATCTCTATATATATATATAAATCTATATCTATATACATACTGCTCGCTTTCTCTTTCTCCCCCGTATATGTGTGTTGCTGCTAAACAGTATTCGATTTCAAATTCAAACGGCGACCATCGCTGAAAGTGCTCTTAACGAAACTGCCATCCACAGACAGTTTGAGCAACAGTCCGGCGCCATCATCGCCAGGTGAAGTTCCTTCCTCAAACAACAAAAAAACAAAAAAACAACATCACAAAATTCTAGCACTGTTTCGACTCAATCAATCAATCAATCAGTCAATCAATCACCCAAAACATCACATTAGATTACATTTATTAGCGATTCGCATTTTATGATATTTCTGATATTTGTTTTGTTTGCTTTTGACGCCAAGGATCACGTCAAATCAAGGATCATCATTCCTATAGAGCGAAGCGCTACTCAATGCTCTTTTCTGCTAGTTTAAATTTATTTTATTTTTTTTTTTCATTCCCTTTCATCATCATGATCTACTGATCACCTGATTCTGCTGACCAAAAACTACTTGGGAGCGCATTTGTATGCATTTCCCATCTGCCAGCTATGTACATGTACGCCCCACCCAACCTTAACCCAATACCCAACCAAAAACCCCCCCACATGCCCCACTGTCAGCCAAGCATTCCATTTTCTGTGACGCATTTCAATTGCCATTTTGCCATTTCTGTGTAGAATTATTGCCGAGCTTTTTGGATCGACTGTGGGCTTTATCATCAAAAGATTTTGTGATTGTGGTGGAGTGCTGATCGACAGAAATATTAATAAATACTGGAGTGCTGTTTCGCTTGGGGAGAAACCTGGATAAATGCATGTTCCTGTGTGTGTGGTAATTCATATCTTATCGCTATCTTTGTGCTTTGGTTTTTACAATCTTAAAATGTTGCTAACCTGCGATAAGAACACAATTAGTTGATAATTCTATGCGAAAAATATAGACAGAGAGAATTATATTTATGGTTAGCTGGCAATGAATGCTATTGCCTAGGATTTCCCACCAAAAGGGTCTATTGAAGAGGTGATTCATCCATTGACGAATGGTAAAAGCATTTCCATTATCTCTAGTGTTTCAGCACCGCTGATAAGGCACTATGTTCTGATTTCAGTGATGAGTAATCGCCGAAGAACACCTGTGCGTTGACATGACCCACATAAAATGATCAGGTGCGTGGCGGGCTCTTAGATCGGATATTTGGCAAGTGGTTAATTACGGGGTTCTTTTTTATCTTTGGGACACATGCCATATGCATTGTATTTGTCACAGGTGTTCCTTAACATTCTGTCACGGACTTTGGCTAGCCACATTTGTGGTTAACAGATAAATGATAAATGACACATTAATTGGAAGCACAAAAATCTGTTGTATGACTCAATAAATTCAATAGGAAAGCAGCTTAATATAAATTCGAACAGGCTTAAGTCTACCATATCTAGTTCTAAAATTAAAATTATTCTCATCTTAAATATGGCTTAGATTTAAATGAACAAAATTTCCATTCCAGCAAAAGATTCAGTTCTTTATTAATTGCAAAAAAAACAAACCTAAGCCAAGTGCAACCTTAGGTGTACCTTAGTACACAGATAACGATCCCTACTCTGTCTCTAATCTTCGACTTGGGATAGGTTAGGGTTAAGGAGATCCCACCTGAGTCACAATCCACAGAAGCAATAATTCCCCCACAATGGAATGGGCGTGTGTGTTGTGTTATTCAATATATACAATATATATTTTCAGCACACACGCTGTTCGGCTTCTCTGTTCGGCCCATCGATAACGCCTACCAAAAGGTTTGCGGCAGAGCCGTTCCCCACCCCACTTCTGTGTGCGAGAGAGCGAAAGCGCAGCAGAGCAGCAGCGAGGTCAGCGTTGTTATCGTTATCTGAGCAAAAAAAAAAAGCGACACACCACACACATGTTGTCTATGTGTATTTACGCATTTGAACTGTCTGCTGGCGTTGGCGTTGGCATCAGCAGAGGCAGAGGCAGTGGCAGCGACTGAACCAGAGGCGATCCTCTCTAGAAATATTGCCAAACTAATTTACACATTCTGGGGGTATTTTGACTATACAAATTCCCGCTCGTGTAGATTCGTGCCCACGTGCCTATTCGTGTCATTCCCAATGCACATAAGTGCCTGTTCGCTTATGGGATATTTTGTACAGTGGAATCAACGTAATGCAGACCACTCGACGATTGTGACTGAATGAGTAAGAGGATTATTAGGAGTAGGGGAATTGTTGCAATTGCTTTAAAGTTTGAAGTTCGGAAGTAGCTTTAGATTCTTGCTCCCAACTCCCAACTTAAAGCGCTCCCAAAGATCCCACAAGACGCGGCACATTGTACAGAAGAAAAACAACATACATGTCGTGTGCATGATGCTCGACTTGCCTTTCGCTGATGTATCCAATATTGAACATTGGACTGATCGCTCTGTAAAAGTATCGAAAGCTTAGGTTATTGGATATTTGCTTTTTCAAAAGTAATGACGAGCGTGTTCCGAGTGCATAAACAGAAACAGAAACAGCAGCCAGCGGCCAGAGCAGACCCGACCAGACCAGACAATTGTTGTGGCTGTTGTGGGACGACCGACGGACCACGGGGCCTCCAACGTTGTCGTCATCGCCATCGCCGCTGGGCCCCAGCTCTCTGTCCGCTGACTGGTCTCTGCTCTGCCGCTGCCGCTGCCTCTGCTCTCAGTTGTCATTTGCTGCTGCTGCTGCTGCCAGTGCCGCTGCTTGCGTTTTGTGTGAGCGTTTGCGTTTCGGGCCTGGCGGCGGCAGAGAGTCAGCCAGTCAGCCATATATCTCAATCAGTCGGCGAGAGAGGCCAGGGCAGACGGAACGACAGAAAGCCAGAAAAAGAAGAAGAAGAAAGCAGAAAGAAACCGAGAAAAAAAAAACATTCAGCACGCAGTCGTCGGCGTCTTCGAAACGGTGTTCTCTCGCATCAAGCATACGCGATGTAGTGCCGCCTTGTAAAACGTGTGAATGAGTAAAATAATAATGAAAATAAATATGCAAAGATACAACTTGACGCGTAAATATTGTACATACTATATGTTGGAACGCAGTTGAGAGGCGCTCTTCAATAACCGGAGACGGAGTTATGTCCAATAATAATTGGTCATGAATCTTCTACAAAGCAAGTGGCAAATTAATAATTATTAATCCACCAAGAAAACAATCAACAAGAATAATTATTATGTATTGTGTTTGTGTGTGACTCGTTTATATATATACTCTTTTTGGGTATTTTATTTTTAGACAAGCAATAAACCAAATTAATAATAATGTGTAATAAGCGCGAGGGCAGTGCCATAAAGTGCAAGTGCGAAGACACTTGACAATGCCACAAGCGAGAAAATTCTCTGCCTCTCTCTCTCTCTCTCTCTCTCTGTCTGTGTGTGTTTGGATCCGCCAGATGTAGTAGTTGTAGTTGTTTGTGTATCTTGCAAAATAAATAAAAAAAACATATTCGTAAAATAAATAAAACGACTGCTGCCCATTGCGCGACCCATGGCCCCTTTTAACTACATATATTTCCTCGACTTGCACACCTTTAGATATTGTTGTTTTTTATGCCGACCCAAACTGATCTGGTCGCTGTGCCGCATTTTGTTAGTTTTTCTTTTGTTGATCGTAAAAAGTCTCCACATAAATTTATATTTACATTTTTGTTTGTTTTGTTAAGTTTTGGTTCGATTAAAATCATCAAAAAATCTCTCACACACACACAGGCACACATAAAAATCCCCATCAAAGTTGCTTATAAAAAACCAATCATTATTATATTCCGTTTTACAGGAATCGCCAATTGGGCCTCAGACAATCGTGACGGCAATGTGGCAGATAAGGCAAGTTATCAGTTACCGAATATTGTAATTATTATATAATTTTTTCTAGTTTGAGTCTGGTAAAAATGTTCAAAAAGGTTTATCAAAAGTTAGTTAACAACAACAAATATGTGGGTCATTATCTATATCTATAGAGGGTGGCAAAGAAGTTGCGATAAGAGTGGGTCTGTTCTGTGGTGTGGGGTCTCTGGTCTTTGGTCTGATATTTAATATAATCGATGGACGGTAACAGGCCACGTGCAACAACGAAATGGATATGACACATTTGTTTTTTGTTTTTTGTGTGTTACTAGTTTCATTGGGAATTATAAGTGTTAATTGGATTAACAATTCAGTTTTTGGGTTTCCTCGAAAAGAAAATTGACAGCTCTACCGCAGGTAGATTTGCTTTAGATTTGCTTGACGTCGGGTGTGGGGCGCATAAATCCATGAAAATATACCAGCAAATATTCCACTGCTGTTTTAGCAAACAGGTTTAGAGTCTTACGAATGCCATATGTCTGTAGTTTACTTAACTGATCTCCAATCGTGCCCACAGTCAGCTGCTGATGCCGCCAAGCTCAATCGTAAGGAGTCCTACAAGGCGCAGAGGAAGAACTACAGAAGAGAGAAGAAAACGAGTGGCCAGCGAGCTGATGAATTCCCTGCAGGATCCAGCCGTAATTGTGCTAGCCGATTGGCTAAAGGTGAGAGCGTGCGCACAGAGAGAAATACGCCAGCCAAAGGAATACAAAATACTAAATACAAAAAATTTTGGATAATTTTAGGTCCGTGGCACACTCAAGTCCTGGACGAAGCTGTGGTGTGTGCTCAAGCCGGGACTGCTGTTGATCTACAAGAGCCAGAAGACTAAGAGTAGTCATTGGGTGGGCACCGTAATGCTCACCTCGTGCCAGGTGATCGAGCGGCCCAGCAAGAAGGATGGCTTCTGCTTCAAGCTCTTCCATCCCCTGGAGCAGTCCATTTGGGCGCCACGTGGACCCGACAAGGAGACCATCGGTGAGTGTGGCCAAAAGAAAACAAAACGATACGATCGCTGATAAATTGTTCCTGCAGGTGCCGTTGTCCAGCCATTACCAACCGCCTACCTGATCTTTCGAGCGCCCAGCCAGGCGGCTGGTAAATGCTGGATGGATGCCCTGGAGCTATCGCTGCGCTGCTCCGCGCTCTTGCTGCGCACCAACAGCAGCACAGCGCCGTCCAACACGTTTGTGGGGGAACCGCTGCTGCCCGTCTCCCACGAGACGCAATGGTCGGAGGCGGACTACGAGAAGCACTTCAATGACCATGGTAAGTTTGGTCAGTTTCTGGCGCTGCCGCCCGACTTGGAGTCGACTTCGCGTTCCGACAGCGGCAGCCAGCTGCCCTCGCGGGCCCAGACTCCGCTGCTGCAGCAGCTGTACAGCAGCGCCGTCAGCAACTGGGAGCGCACCAAGCGGCTGCCACACTTTCGGCAGCATTCGGAGCAGCGAAAGAGCTCCTACAGCGATGCCTCCTCGAGCTGCGACTACGCTTTGGGCACCCAGCGCAAGCGTCGCCTTCTGAACCCCGCCAGCAAGTCGCTGTCCCTGGGCGGATCAGGCGCACTGGGCGGCAGCCGCAGCAGCTCGAGCGACGATGATAACGAGGATGACTATGACTCCACGAGCGTTGTTAGCCAGGCGCCAGGCGCACAGCCTGTTCCCCGGTTCCGCCTTAATGTGAAGGGTGATGTCGTTATTTATTGTCGTCATTGTAGTTTTTGATTGCTTCCATTAGCACTATGCATAGGCTCTGGCTAGGATCAGGATCAGCGTAGTCCTCGAAATCATTGTTCTAAATTATAGAGTACTTGCCGGCAAGGGGTCCCCTCTCTGACAGTGTCAGAGCCATCCCACCGCCAATCATTAGTTATTGCCTGCATCTAGATTGATCTTTAGATCTGCGCCTTTTATGAACTTTGCTCATGTGTCGGAGAGCAGCTTCGTGCCAATCGAGAGCTTGGTTCTTAAGAGGCTGCAACAGCTAGCGAAACGTCTGTGGTGCAACTGTTAAGAGTGTGGCCATATTTCAATGTGTTGCAACTCGTTTCAGATCTGGACGCGGACAGTCAGAATGAGGCGCCCAATGCCGCCATGTCGGGTCTGGAGTCAGAATCGGAGTCGGATGCGGGTGAGCCGCTGCAGGATGATACCCTAGAGCAAGCCGCCTGCGTGGAGACCAACTATGCCCCCTTCACCGAGGAGGAATTCGGCGAGGTAAGTACATACAGCAGATCCATTACCCCCACACACAAGCTCTCACATTTTGTTCAACTTCAGCAAGGGGAACAGGTGGAGGAGTTGGCCGATGAGAACAAGAGCCTTATCTGGTGCATTGTGAAGCAGGTGCGTCCTGGCATGGATCTGAGCAAGGTGGTGCTGCCCACATTCATACTAGAGCCGCGCTCCTTTCTGGACAAACTCTCCGACTCGTATTACCATGCAGATTTGCTCTCCAAGTAGGTCATTCGCATTGCCTTCCTTTCTGACTTCCTTTCTGACTGTTTTTTCTGTTCTGTTCTGTCTGTCTGTCTGTCGCAGGGCCGTGCAGGAGGATGATGCATACACGCGCATGAAAATCATCGTACAGTGGTACCTGTCCAGCTTCTACAAGAAGCCCAAGGGCCTGAAGAAGCCCTATAATCCCATATTGGGCGAGACTTTCCGTTGCTATTGGCAGCATCCCGGCGGCAGTCGGACATTCTATATTGCCGAGCAGGTCTCGCATCATCCGCCCGTGTCGGCATTTTATGTGACAAATCGCGAGGATGGCTTCAGCATCACCTGCTCCATCTTGGCGAAATCGAAGTTCTACGGCAATAGCACATCCGCCGTCCTTGAGGGGGCGGCCACCATGACGCTATTGCCGCGCGGTGAATGCTACATTGCCTCCACGCCCTACGCCCACTGCAAGGGTATACTGATGGGCACGCTGTCCATGGAGCTGGGCGGCAAGATAAACATCGAGTGCGAGAACACCGGTTACAGGACGGAGCTAGAGTTCAAGCTGAAGCCATTCCTCGGCGGCTCCGAGTCCACCAATGTCGTTGTGGGCAAAATCAAGCTGGGCAAGGAGACGCTGGCCACCATCAATGGCCACTGGGACAAGGAGTGCCGCATCAAGGACACCAAGACGGGTGAAGAAACCCTCCTGTTCAAGGTGGATGGCGATCTGCGGGCGAAGCGTCTGCCCCGGTACCTGGTCCCCATTGAGGCGCAGGAGCCGCACGAGTCGCAACGCCTGTGGGAGCGTGTCTCCGAGGCCATTGCACGCGAGGATCAGGTGGCCGCCACCGAGGAGAAGACCATACTGGAGGAGAAGCAGCGGGCCGAGGCGAAGGAGCGGGCGAGCAACGAGGCACTGTATGTGCCCAATCTCTTCGAGCTGGACAGCTACGGGCAGTGGATATACAAGTACGCGGATCTACGGCCCTGGGATGTCCGGAACGATGTGCGGCAGTATGAGTGCCAGTACAAGGTGCTGACACAGACGCGCCACAAGTCGGTGCCCATTGTGCATGGGGCCGAGGTAATGCATCCCCTGCGCAGCTCCCTCGAACCGGTGGCCCGCTCGCACAGACAATCGGGCACAGCCTCCTCAAAGGCGCCCAAGGCCAAGAACAAGAGCCTGGTGCTGGCGCCACGAGACACTAACTCGGACTCCAGCCAGTCGCCCCAGGGTGTGGTCAAGCGCAGCTCCTCCAGCTCCATTAGGCAGTAAGTGAAGTGCATTGCCTCTCCACTCCCATGGAAATTATTACAGCATCAACTTTCTATCCCTTTTCAGAATCAACTTGGCCCTCGATCAGGTCAACCGCGTGCTGGAGGTGCACTCGAAGCAGCTGAACGATATTAGTCAGCGGCTGGAGCGTATGCAGTATGCACCACCGCCGCATCTGAGACCGGGCGCACAGAATATGCTGGGCGGCGGTGTCGCTCTGTCGACGGTGATCAAGTCATTGATTTATGCTCTTATTGGGCTGACTTTCAGCCTGATTCTGCGCTGGCTGTTCAAGTAGACGGGCAGCAGTGGTAGTTGCGGGCGCAATTTGTTTAGACTTAAGAAAACATTTTGGTCAACGTTTAGATAACTTATAACCCCCAACCCCCCCCACTATAATACAGATTCAGACTGTAAACAACTCGCATTGTATTGTATTGTATTGTATTGCCTTTGCCCGCTGCCAGAGATGTGCAGCTAGAAGCTCCATTTGCGCGAGAATCCAATCACGAACTAAGTCATAAGTGTTTTGCCGTAAGTCCAGCCCTCCCCCAGTCCTCTACTGCAGCTCCTCTAAAATACTTTTTGGGTAGGCTAGGCTAGCGAATAAATATGTACCTATATATATATATAGACACCACACAGACACAGACACACATATAAATATAGTATATAGTTGCACCAGATTTCGTAAAAATTCCAATATATTCGATAACTAGTTCGCTTTATCCGTGTTCTTTTGTTGTTCTTGTTGTTTCCTTCTTTAAGTAATTATTCGGATCGGATATGTACCCTTTACACTACACCTGTTTTCCATTTAGAGTGAGTAACGAAACGAAAACAATGCTCGAGAGGCTGTCTGCTCGACGCTACCCGCACCGCCGCCCTAGAGATTTAATGCGAAAACTGCTTATAATATGTATCTAATTTTAGTCTTATATCTTATATACATGACCTGTTTTTCCCTGTATTCAACGCCCCCCGCCCCGCCCCCAAGACCTGCAAGCATTTCACTTGAAATGCATATTTAATAAACTATCTTTTTTCAAATCAAATAAGGCTGCGGATTTTTCTTTTCAACAAAGGAGTGCCTGTAAATCTTTCAGTTCTATGAATGACATTTACTGGGAACGGGGTGTACCACCTGGAACAGCTTTATAAACCTCAACGGGAAACTGATATTCGTACGTGAAGTTGCTACAAATAGTATGGAAATTCTTCTGCTTATTAGCTCAATATAATTTTTGCAATTTCCAATACATTTAACGTTCAAATTGAATAACTTTTTCATTAATTTAGTTTTTTTTTCTATATTTTAATATTATTCGAATATTTAATATTGTTCTAAAAGAAAACTCATCGTTATTTATATCCTCCCTGCGTTTCTCTAGTTTCCTCAGTCGTTTCTTATTGGAATTCCCTGTTATTATGTACCATATGGCATTATCCTATAGTTTCTATTGGAAAACTACACTTGGCTTGACATTGCCTCATTTAAATCTATTCCTTCACTTTAATCTACAGAAAATTATTGTTTGAATTTGGAAAGACAATTACCAGAAATGAAAGTACAGTGAAACATGCTTCAAGTTGATTCTGCAGTTGATACTTGAATCGTGTCAGTTTACAATCAAATAACTAAACATTGTTAATCTCAAATGGGTTCTGTAATCGCTTGGGCAATCGTTCGCTAAATCTGAATTGATCGTTGAAAGATTGAAAAATATAATGGACTATCATTATATATTGCTTTCGTGTGTGAATAGAACACTGGGACTGGTTTTGATAAGGTCTCCTCTGATTGCACAATTAGTGTATGTTAAATATGAATTCTATTTCTTGTTTTTTTCCATGTTTTATTGTTGTTGTTTTTAGCTATACGCTTCGCTTACATTTACAAATAGTTTATATGTATATTTTTAATATATACTATATATTCTCTACAACATTTACGCTCGATTCTCAGTGTGTCTATGCAGTAAAAGCTGGTTTTACTTGTTTCTCTTTCTCTCGCAACGCATCGCATCGTATCGCTTAATATAGGGACTCTCGCGTCTCTCGTCTCTCCGTTTTCTAAGTATTTTTTGTTTGTTTGTTCTAGTACTCGTATAAGCAACCCGGTTCGTTTTTTTGTTTACTTTTCTTTCGTGAATAGTAAGTTATATTATTGATTATTTATGCGATCGCACCTTTGCGCCGCTTGTAGTCATTTGAGTAAAAGATGCTGCTAAATATCCGCTAAGAGTACACTTACATATATAAATAGTTGCGGCTTATGTATGGTATATGTTTAGAGCGGGCGGGCTAAATCGAGAGAGGGGAGGGTGGCTTACACACAGTATAGCAATAACTAGTTTTACCATTATTTATTTACTTTACTTTTTGCTTTCGGGGCTTAACATTTAACACGACGAGAAAAGCTGGAGAGAAGCTAGACTTAACTCGGGTAGGGGGGCTTGGCAGGCAGCCTGCAGCGGAACTGAGAAACGGGCAGAGATGGGGGCGGAGGGGGATTGGGGTGACAACAGTTATGAGGCTAATAGTAGTACTAGTAGTAGTATTAGTAGTAGGGGGGAGGGGGGAATAGTAGATAGAGTTTTCGGCTTAAACACCCTGTATTATGTGTGTACGTGTACGTGTGTGTGTGCACGATGTACGGCTAGCCTTAATTTACAATTGGACACGCATGTGGATCAGCTCTTCTACTCTTCTAGTTACATACAATTGCGCTCTGCACAGCAGGTAAATAACACTTTTGAGTATATCATTCAAATATAGTTAGTATTCATGTAATCATATTCTGTATACAATACATTTTGCAACTCTATAACTGTATGCGGTATATGTGTATGTGGCATGCATATTGCACTATTCCTCAATGGCTGGTTGACTGGCTCGCTGGCTGGGCTGCTTGCTTGCTGGCTGACTGGCTGGCTGGCTGGCTGGCTGCGGACTGGTGGCTGGAGACTGTAGCATGTTGCTGCTAGCTGCGACTAGCACGTATGCACCCTTAGATGATTCTGCAGGGTGCTCTTCTGCCGGAACTGCTTGGGGCAGTAGGAACAGTTGTAGGGCTTTTCACCAGTATGGATCTTCATGTGATTGTTGAGCGTGGCCACCTGTCGGAAGTTAACATCGCAGATCTTGCACTTGTATGGCTTCTCACCCGTATGCGTCTTGATGTGATTGACCAGGGTGCTCTGCTGTGAGAAGAAGCGCTGGCAGACGCTGCATCCAAACGGACGGTCCGGATTCTCGCCCTTCAGCATATTGATATTGCCCACCATGGTGATGCGACCGGGCGGCGAGGCGGCCTGGAAGTGTTCAGACTTGGTGTTGGTCTGAAAGTGCTCAGATTTGGCTGCCACAGCAGCCACATTACTAGCTACCACAGAGCTGACCGTGGTGCCGCTGTCCAGAAAATGCAGTAACGGATGATGCTCCAGCTGGATGATGTTGGGCGTTGCACCATGCAGATTATTGGGCAGCAGTCCGCTCGTCAGTTGCTGCGTGCCCGACGCCAGGGGCAATGGCATCGAGTGATCCACTGCAATTGCGGGTTGCGGGTTGATTCGGTTGATAGTGGGGTGGTGTGGTAGAGTTGATCGTTTTGATGGTCGATGGTCAGATCGGATCGGAGTGGAGCGGTTTGCATGCGTACAAAATTTAAATAAAAGCTTCGTTAGGGAAGAGCGTTAATGGTCAATGCACACAGTGATAACAGAAAGCGGCTCAGTTGTAGGGCGAACACACAAGCGGCTCACCTGTGGCTGTGACTGTGCCGCCTGGCTGCTGCTGCTGCTGGGATGCCAGATGCGTGTGCGTCTTCATGTGGTTGGTGAGGGTGCTCTGCTGGCGGAACTGCATGTGGCAGTAGGAACACGTGTATGGTTTGTCACCCGTATGGATCTTTTTGTGATTGGCCAGCGTGGCCAGCTGGCTGAAGGACTTGTCGCACGTCTCACACTTGTACGGCTTGGGATCGATGTGCGTCCGCTCGTGATTGTGCAGCGTGCTAAGCTGCGGAAATCGTCGCTTGCACACGCTACACTGGTACGGTTTCACCAGCTCCTCGGCCGCCGGCGAACTGTAGCTGCCGGAGTATAGAGTCTTTGAGATTTGTACGCGCGGCATATGCTGCTGCTGCTGTTGCTGTTGCTGGTAGGCGTTGTGCATCTGATTCGCCTGCGATTTCCTCATCTTTCCAGTCGTCTGCGGCTGTGGCTGATAGTTGAGTAGTGACGTCGGCGTGCTCGACTCTGCCGCTGTGTGGAGAAAGAGTACGGCAATGGGACATGGGTTTTTAGTTGTGGGTTGTGTTCATTGGGTGTTGTTCCAGGTGTTGTTTCTTTAGTCAAAGACTCTGTCTATCACTTACCCTTATGCGTCTTGATGTGATTGATCAGTGTGCTCTGCTGCCGGAAGTCCTTGGCGCAAATGTTGCAGGTGAACGGCTTCTCGCCAGTGTGGATCTTCACGTGGTTGGTCAGTGTCGAGATCTGGCGGAATGCCTTGTCGCAATGCTTGCACTTGTAGGGCCGTTCATCGGTGTGTATTTTCATGTGGTTGCGTAACGTCGTCAGCTGCCGGAATTTGTTCTTACACACGTGGCACTGCTTCTTTTTGCGCGGATCGTCCACCACCGTCTCCTCCTCTTTGATGAATGTGTGCACCACCTCCTGCTTCATGGGCGGTATGGGCGTGTGATTGCCCCCGCTATTCGTTGTGGTCGTCGATATATCTAGCAGGTGGACCAGTGGATGTTGCGGATGGAGCATCGTCTGGTGGGTGGGATGCTGGATGGCCTGCACAGCGGTCAGTTGGTGCAAGGCGAACGGACTCTGTTGCAGGCTGGCCAGGGTGGTCGACTGTTGCAAGGCGTTTCCAGCGCCTCCACCACCACCCCCGCCTCCACCACCACCGCCACCACCACCACCACCGTGCGTTGCCAGCTGGGCGGGCGCATAGTGCTGATAGTTGGCCATGGCAGCTGTCGCAGCAGTTGCATGATTCAGATGCATAGTTATGGGGTTTGCCTCACCGATCTGAGGTATTCGAAAAATCTTCAGCTCCAGCTAGTCTACTTTGGGTCGCTTATTGTCTGCACATGAAGGATGCGAGTGGGATGCGCGTTATACAATTAAATGGAAACCCCGCAGCCATTTGCCACCAGAGAGCCCCACCACACTCCGTCGTCGGGTTTGTTATTTTAGCTGTCTGCTGCTGCTGCTGCCGCGACCTGCCCTGGCACCTGGCACGTCGCTTCCACGTATGCGTTATCGCACGCAATTTGGTAAACACTTTGTCCTGCACAACATGCCACACAGTTTGCACAGTTTTCGCGAGTCGTAGTGCTGCTTTCTATATGCTTTATGCAAAATTTTCAGGCCACGCTCTTTTTGTATCCGTATCCTTATCAAAACAAAAATGACTGGCGTGGTTTTCCAGGGCCTCGGCGCGAGCAGAGCTGCATCGGTAGTGGTCGCTCGCCCACCGATAGTGTATATCGAATAGTCGTACCAGGGCTGCACAACAAAAAATGTGTGCATATCGGGCACATTCTCGATAGCAACTATCGCTTACAAAAATATCGTACAGTCGCAAATTACCATTGTGTGTTTTTATTTAGATTTCTGTGTTAAAAACAAAGCAAGAAACGGCAGGTATTCTCCAAAAAATTCAAGGCCTTCGATATATTTGCCATCAAAGGCTTAAAATTTGCTTAATCATGAGCGACAACGAGCCGAATGACACTGAGGAAGCGGCGATCGCATCAAAGGAGGCGGATTCCCCTAAAAATGCCAGCAGCGAAGGTCGGTTTGGCATAACCAAAAATTCATTGTCACAACTGCTTTCGTTTTGTTACATTCGTTGATAATTTCAGAAAGTCTCACTATGGATAAAATAGGTTTGTTGCTCGCAAACACTTTGAATATTAGTCCCGGTTCCTCATCGAACACGGAGAAGGTATGGGCCACATGTGCATTCTGTTTGAATGCAATGCTGATGCAGTATTGATTTATTGCAGGTCATTCCGGACCTGACATTCAAGGGCCTCGCTGACCACTGGCGTGAAAAGGGCTTCAAGAACATTATTACCATGGTTGGTGCTGGAATATCCACATGTAAGTCAACCGAGTGAACCGCTGTCCACGGACCGCTTTTACATACATATGTTGTCGCCCCTTTAGCCGCGGGCATACCGGACTTTCGCACCCCAGGCACGGGACTGTACGACAATCTGTCTAAATATAAGCTACCGTACCAGATGGCCATATTTGATTTATCGTACTTTAAAAAAAGGCCCGCTCCCTTCTTTGCCCTGGCGAAGGAGCTGTATCCCGGATCGTTCGAGCCCACTCCATCTCACTATTTTATACGCCTTCTCCATGAAAAGGGTCTGCTTCGTCGCCACTACACGCAGAATATCGACACGCTTGATCGGCTGGCGGGCATTCCGGAGGCCAAGTTAGTGGAGGCACATGGCACCTTCAATACCAATCACTGCACTAAGTGCAACAAAGCACATGACAAGGCGTGGATGCGGACGGAGATCTTTGCAGATCGCGTGCCCAAGTGCACAGCGTGCAAACACATCGTGAAGCCAGATATTGTATTTTTTGGTGAGAACCTGCCCGAAAAGTACCACAGTAGCTTGGAAAAAGATTTCAAAAAGTGCGATCTATTGATTATCATGGGCACCTCGCTGGAGGTGCAGCCATTTGCCTCTATGCCACAACATGCTGGACCTCGCTGTTTGCGGCTCTTGATCAATCGTGATGCCGTGGGACGTCCCAAATTTAAAACCTGGATGGAGCACCGAGGTCCCGAGTATCTGCACTACAACAGGCCCTACAACACGCGTGATGTGGCCTACATAGGTGATTGCGATGCTGCTGTGCTGGAGCTGGCCAAAAAACTGGGCTGGGAGGACGAACTACAGGAGCTCATCTCCACTGAGCGGAAGCATTTGGCCGAGCTGGCATCGGCCGCACGATGAAGAGTCTGCCTCTACCAGTAGCACCAAGAAGCGTGCAAAGCACTAAAGAAGCGCTTTTATAGATAAATCTCTAGTTAAGTTTGGATAAGCGTGCAATTCGTATACATGGGACATGTAACATATAAACGGACAAAGGAATGTGCATCAAATCTGTGTCTGTGTCTAGTTAAAGTCGGACAAGGGACAAGGGTATTGGTGTTATGTATTCTTCAAAGTACACAGGAAAGGTTTGAAAGCTGCTTGGGCATAGACACAACGAGCAGATTGTTTCTGGTGAGGTGGAGATCACTCGAGATTGTTTCTGGTGAGGTGGAGATCACTCGAAAGCATTGGATTCCAGTCCAAAAGTTCTAATAGAAAAGGTCTGTTGGAAATAACAATATTGTAACGAATGGACAGAGAAAGTAGCCTATGGTTTAGGGTTGTCATGCAGTTGACTGGGAATTTTGGCAATATTTAATATTCGCTCAGTGTGTGTACCTGCCCCTGTACCACTCTTGAGTGGCCACTAGCCGCTAATCAAGCAGTGCCAATAGCTCTGTCGTGGGCGATAAATCAGGTGGAATGCTAGCCCATAAACGTTAAGTGGGTTTAGTGTTTGAGACGTTTCACCATCATACAAATTTCTCGCAGACTGGACCTTGCCGGACTGAGTCTACTTTACAGTGTTATGGACTGGTGTTATGGTGTGGTGGAGTGGATATCTGCAGATATATCGTAATTGAATTCCAATTCAACGACTAGAGTTTGGTTAGCTGTTGGCGATGAGAGGACGATTTGCAGCAGCTCATCCACACATTGAGCGAAAGCTGTTGGCCAAGCAAGCAGGAATCGGTTGCAGTTGCACAACAAAAGCTGAGCATGGACTCTGCCCCCAGCAGCTGCAGCTGCCGTGGGAGGACGAGGCTGTCTGGTAGGGACTAGTTAATTTTGGTTTGGAGTGCAAATCGTATGGATGGGACATGTATAAACGGACAAAGGAATGTGCATCATGGCTGCTAAATCCCGTGCGTTTCATTTCATTTCGTTCTTGCTCGTTTCCGGCTTTCAATTATTCAAGTGCCATTTGTGAGCCATTAGCGTTAGCCTGGCCAGGACTAGATGCCGGGTGGCGGCAAGGGGCGGGCTATGGCCGAGGTCCCTTTTAGCTGTGCCACCGAAAACCGCAAAAACTGATTGAGTTGCTCTGCCGTTTCCGGCGCACAAAAAGCAGAAACCGCCAACAAAGGTTAACTCTCGGACATGGTTGTGTTTCTGTTTCAGTTTCTGTGTTGCAGCATTTGCCGGCTCTGATTCTGATTCTGATTCTGTTACAGCTGCCGCGCCCCTCTAACGTCATCAACCGCCGTTGTGGGCGTTGCATGTGGCAACCTAACAGAATGTTTGTGTGGAATGCAGCTGCATCCTGATGCCCAGCCTGCCGCTGCTGTTCCCTCTGGCTGCACCAACTTAATGACTCACAATCTGTCCCACAGATAAACACATACACACGTAGAGAGATAGATGGAGAGAGAGTGAGAGAATGAGAGAATGAGAATGAGAGAGAGATCTACTCATACTCGTATGGGTTGCTGGTAATGAAGCTTCTGCGGTGAATTGGCCAATAGAAAATACGTACGGGTTTGCACTAATTAAAACCCAGCCGGAACCGGGACAGCGGGTAACCCTCCTGCCCAAGTGGGGCAGCTCGGGAATGCAGAAACAGATATTGTTAATCGCTGTTAGGGTTGGATGCTGGAGGTAGCTGCACAACAGGAAAAGGAAATCAGATGCAGCAACGGAAATATTGATGGCCTCGCAATTTGTTGCAGTTGCCCCAGAACTTGGGCAATTAAAGCTAATGGCCCCAAGAACTTGTCTATGTGCAATTTTCCAGAGTGTTTGGCTGTCTCTACTCCATCCTGTGGCTCATACACTCCAAAATTGAGTCAAGTTTGCCCCCAATATTAACTTGACTTGACTTGCGTCTTCTCTTCTCTCTCTCCAATCCAATCCAATGTGGAACGCCATTAAGTGCACTCCATACACACGCACTTGATGATGCCAGAGAGGTGCTGGGCGTGGGTGGAGGGGCCATATTTATGTGAACATGTTTCATATTTGTAATCAAAATGATTCCCACCCACCCCCGGCTTCATCTAATTCCCACTCAGTGGAGCCTGTTCATCAATGGCATTGAAACAAAAGACGAGTATTCCTTGTAGGGACATTCCTCGATGTCATCACCGACAGCTGTGCTCGCGCTCTGATATTGAATTCTTGACATGATTGTTCCGAGGAGCAGCAGCCAGCACACAGCTTGCTATCGAATTGATTGCACCCTCCCCACACACACACACACACACATACCCCCCCCACCAACGCATAGAGTTTAAAAGCATAGGAAATGTGGCATGGCCCCAAAACCACAAATAGCTGAAACGCTGCCTCTAATAAAGCAAATCGAAGAGATCTTCATTGATTGTGTGGCCCGCCCGAAAAACATCTTTGATGGGCGTTTATTCTAAAATATACATATGTATGTGTGTATGTATATGCATTGTTATCGTAGCATAAACGGAATCTTTATGAATATTTTATTATGGCTTTAATAAAAAGAAAAACCAGAAGGAGCTCTCAAAAACCGCTCTGGCAACGGCTGCCAAATGCTGTTCTGAAAAAGCAATTTGTGTCAATAAATGTGCGACAGGGTGTGTGGTGTGTGTGTGTGTGTGTGTGTGTGAGGGGGAATTGCATATGTGTGCGCATAATATCCTCATCCTCATCCCATTCCAGCCAGCAGCACCCAGCAGCTCCCATAGCATAATCGTCATAATCATTTTATGTGCATGTTGTATAGCTACTTTTGGGCGCATAAATTTTTATTTACGTCTTTGTCAACACAATGCTCCAAAAACGATTGAGTGAGTGTGCCACTTCCGCGCAACAAAATTAAAGTGCGATTTGAAATGATGCCCCCCCCCCCCTGCCTGCTAGCCTGCTTGCCACACACAGCCAAATTGGCGGTTTTCGTGGCTCCAAATGAACTGTGGTGGTATGTATAAAATATAGTACATATGCGCTGCGGCTTTGACCATACACTGAGGAGCAAGAAATGACCAAAAGATTGCAAGGAACATATTTTCCAGATTTTTTACTCTATAAGAAACATGAGCATATATATGATGGGAATATCTGTGATTTGATACTTTATTTTATTTGTAGAAAATAAATATAAATTTTGTTCAGTGTAGCATAATCATAATGATGGACACTAACCAGAACAGAAACCCATGCGAATGGTGGCCATGCATAATTATGCACAAGATCGGTCATATCATAATTCTTATAAACAAAATGAAAACCATCAATAAACAAAAACAAAAATTTGCAGGGTTTTGTCATTAGAGGAAGAGTAACGAATTGGCAAACCAAATAATTCGCATTGATTTAGCTGGGTTTTCGTGCCCCAAAGCGCTGTCCACTGGCAATGGGGATGATCCCGACCCCGACCCCGACCCCGACCGCATGCTGCATTGATTTGGACCAGGAAAAACCTCGTCAATGGCTGGGGTACACGGTGCATGGATGGTCAATTGATTGGGCAAAGCCAATCTTCAATGAATAAATGAACATTGGAGATGGGTCTGTGGGTGGTGCTGCGCTATGCTGTGCCGTGCTGTGCTGTGTGTTTTGGGGTCCGTCAGGTGCATCATCGAGTGCATTTAATTGTGGCACAGGACCCGCGCACTCCAACAAAAGGATTTTCGCTTTGTCTCCCTGCACCGACTGCTGTCACTGCTGCACCAACAGCAGCAAAAAACTTCTCAAAAATATAGAGAGGGTTACTCGTAGAGGGGGGCAGATGGGAAAATGATTTAGCCAAAATGGTTGGCAGTGGACACACATTTTTTTTTTGGTTGGTTTTGGTTTTTTTTTTCGTTTTCGTTTTGTTGTTGTGTCCGGTTTTTGTGGTTAATTGAAATTTTTCATTTGCCTCGTTTGCCTGCGACGGCTTTAAATTCATTTTGAATGGCTGGCTCTAAGCCCTGGGGCCTTCATGGCCAATTCCCGCCGGAATTCAGAATGCAATAAATTTCGAATAAAAACAACAGCAATATTACTCTGCGGCTCGACAACAAAGTGGATTATGTAATTGCATAGATAGATAGATACGTATTACGTATACGTATTTTGTATAGATAAAGTTATACAAAGTTATGGCACGCTGAGGCGGCTGCGACTGTGTAATCGATTTGGAAAAACAATTATCAATATTTAATTCGTTGGCGGTTTTTGTGGTCAACAAATGCTAATGAAATGTGGAAATCTGTTTAGATAAATAGTTAAGTGCCTGGGCAAAAAAACAATTATCTACACCAGCAAGCACTACACTGGCCGGGGATCAGGCAGGTCCTTGGAGAAATGGCCGAAATTAAATTCATTTAATTAAAGTTCTAATTTAGCATTGAAACGAAACGAAAAAACAGAGAGAAAGCGCAAAAGGAAAACCCATTTAGAGCGTGAAAGAAACTGCATTTTGCGATACATTTCCTCAGCCTTGTTTCCTTCGGCCGCTCTCACCTGTTCAGGAACCTGTGCCCGTGCCCGGCCCGTGCCCGGAACACCTTACCAACTTACCTTTCCGTACCTCCTTATCGTCCTGGCCCTGTCCTGCTCCGACATTGGTAATTTAGAGAAAATGTGAATGGATAGGAGAGAGAGGAGCATGGGGGGCTATGCTACAAGTATTTTGTACTCGTTACTTGTATTGCCTTTTCGATTTGCACTTTACACGCTTTCATTACACTTCGTTTCCGTAGTGGAAAGAGAGGCAGATATGCCAAAATAGAGACAGAGAGAGGAGAGAGTGAGAAGGGGTGAGTTCAAAAGGTGGGAAACAGGGCAAGAAATGGAAATACTTGACCCGAAACCGTTGCATTGTTAGCATTTAAACTGTTTCTTTGCCGTTGCGCTTCACTTGGATTGCACACTCGAGACACAGATATACATACACACAGAGTGAGAGATGGGACGGGAAGAACAGGATACCAAAGCCAGCGGAATCACTCAGAGGAGAACTCTATCCCTTGAGCACCATAAGACACGATTGTCTCTACCATAAAAAATAATAAAATATATTTGGGATATAGCTTAGAAATTATTTT